GGAATTCAACTTTCCTGTGAGTTTTTTTTTTTTTTTTAAAGTAAAGAACTTTGGATATAAAGAATGAGTAAATATAAGTGAATACTCTTTCCTAACTCAATGCGGTCACTCCTTGTCTATCACCTGTAGTTCATGGATAAGCAGTGTGTGGGCAAAAACGTTACCCATTTCAAGTCGGACTCTTGGAAATAGGCTTCCATGCTATACACTTTGGTTCCTGGCCCGGCTTTCAAGTCTGTTCTTACATGTTTGCACTGGGAAAGTCATCACCCTATAATTCTGCTAGTGGCATGAAGAATTAGGATTTTCCAAGTTATAATAAACCCCAGTTGTGGTTTGGTGAGTTTTGTCACAGACATTTTTATTGAATGAATGAAAATAAATACCTTATAGAAAATAATATCCTATGGATGGCTAACTCATGGGGGTTTTAGAGCCTTTAGCGAGTGAACAGACACAGTCACTGGACCCCATGGATATCCAGCCTCGGGTTCTCTCCTCCCACCTGCATACCCCAGCCACTGCTCCAGCACCCACCTCTGCATGGGTATGACCTAGCAGCTCCAATACCTATCTCTCACTTTTTGCCCTGACGGTTTTCTGCCACCGTTCTACTTCTTGGCATGCAAACAGGAATGTTTATAACCCATAGGCAGCCCTAAACCCATGGGGAACTGGAGCCTGAGGATCATGGAGCCCTAGTTGCCCACCTCACCGGCCAGCTCACTCCAGCACCTTGGAACTGGTCTTCCCTCCTCCCCCGCTTCAGTCCTCCAGCCTTCCAGTCCTGTTTCCTGAGTGTCATTCCCCAAGCCAGTGACCTACACACTAGCTTTTGTCTCAGGCCTTGTTTTTTGGCAGAACCTGGACTAAGACACTGGAATCTCTCCAGTTACGGTTGACGTGCATGGGGATTGTTAATATCACAGGGACCCCTTCACAGGAGGTTATGCAGAATCTAGAAAAAGGGTTGTTTTTTTTTTCTTTTTTTTTAGATTTTAATTTTTTATTAGCATATCACAGCACTCACCATAGCACATACCCTCCCCAATGTCCATAACCCAACCGCCCTCTCCCTACCCCCTTCCCCCGCAACTCTCAGTTTGTTTTGTGAGATTAGGAGTTTGTCTCCTAATCACGATTAGGAGATTATGGTTTGTCTCCCTCCCGATCCCATCTTGTTTCATTTTTTTTCCTTCTGTACCCCCAAGTCCCCCACTTTGCCTCTCAACTTCCTCATATCAGGGAGATCATATGATAATTGTCTTTCTCTGATTGACTTATTTCACTCAGCATAATACCCTCTAGTTCCATCCACGTCGTCACAAATGGCAAGATTTCATTTCTTTTGATGGCTGCATAGTATTCCATTGTGTATATGCACACCACATCTTCTTTATCATTAGAAAAAGGGTTTTAAGCCAAGTGCCAGGGGAATCTTCCTTAGTGTTACCGGGCCTTGAGCAGGTAATTGTAAGGCTGCAGTGATAGGAAGTTAGGAAGACATGTTGCTAAGCATGTACCATTCTATGAGTTGGTTGTAAGATGGTTGCCTCTGAGATGTAATATAGATTGTTGAGAGTAGAAGGACTGTTCCTGCCTCTACAGGTTTCATAGAGGAGATGACCAAGAGGAACAGTGGTGGAGGAAATGGCAGGACTTCCATTATTTGAACTGAGGCATAAAACAGAGACACAGCTCTGAGAAAGAGACCTGTTCTAATTTATGATGGGGATTGAAATGTGACAGCAGAGCTCTTACGGGAAGGTCAGGCTGGGCAGCAAGTTGCTGGGGGTCATTGTGCACAATCACATAGCACTAGGCTGGGGCTTGTTGAATTATGTCAACCTCCTAGGAGGACCTAAAAATGGGGAGTAGTCCCAACTTGGAGGGAAGAGAAGATAAGGAGGCTAGATACCAACTGAAGCCTTGCATGTACAGGCTCGCTAAGCACTATAATTACTTGTTCCGTTGTATAGTTCAGGCTGATTCTGCGACTTTTGAGTCTCTGTTGTTAGGTACCCCAGTACTTAGAGCATGGGCAATTGATGTACTTTCTACTGCCGTTAAAGTACAGATGTTGAAGACCTGATTCTGTCTCTTCACTGATACCCCACGGGGACACTTAATGAATGATGCTCCCTTTAAGAAGAATAATTAACAATAGCTATATTATTCATATTAATTTATAGTTACTGGTTACTATAATTAGTGCTATTTAAGAAAATGATCGTAATTATAGCACTTTACAATTTACAAAGTATTTTCCCATCCATTTTCTTATCAGAATCTTGTAACATCTCTCTGCCTTAGGTAGGGCAGGTGAGGGGGAGGAAACTATGGCCCAGAGAAGCATTTAACCAGTCCTCCACCCCTACCAATATATTATGCTGCCTGTGAAGCTATGGAAATACATAATAGAAGAACCAGATTCACGTAGTTCTCTGTCGCCTTCCCAAACGCTAATGTCCCATCTTTTCATGTTGTGCCAGGACCCATTCCCCAGGATGTTTACACGAATGTTAAATTTTAAAGGGGCTTCATTCTTTATGATAGTGCCATATTTCATAGTTATTACTGCTCAGTGGGATAAGTGAGATCACCTCTGATTGAGGGACTAACACTCTGAAAACTTATCTTCCTAGGACAGAGACCCATGGGCCTTGTAGGGCTTGGTCAAACTGGAAATTCAGACCTTGAGAAAACATAATCCACCTGCTATTATTACTGTTTTCCATTTTTGGCTATGGCAAGCGAGCAATGGAAAATCCCTTTTCTCAAGGGCGACCTACAAATTTGGGCCATACAGCAGGGATATAAAGACACACACAGATGTGCACACACATGTATCCTGGGATTTTGATTCACTTTCTAGAACCTATTGTATATTCCATATACAAGAGTAGCCCCTGCCCCAGTCGTGCCTCTAGCCATGTTCACCCAAAAGATGGTGGATATGAGAAAGGTTGCTGATGACCTGTGGCAGAGTCTCTCACTACCCATTCATTTATTAACTCAAATAATTTATTGAACACTTCCATGATTAGGACCCAAGCAAGATTCTGGGGAAACAGCGAGGAGCAAAATGGACAAAATCCTGTCTTCATGAAGTGTGTGTTCTCTTCAGCAGACTAACAATAGACAGCCAAATACATATAAAAGATACTGTTAGATGATAGATATTATAATAGATAGATATTATGAGATGATAGATATTATGAGAAAAATACACAAGTCGGGGTGAGGGGTCAGAGTGCTGTACTAGGGTCATAGAAGTACACTCAGAACCAGAAAATGATGAGGACGCTATGTTAGATAATGGGATAAATGTTACCCCTATTTACCGAGGGCTCACCAGTAAGGATGCCACTGCCTCTGGGATGGTCAACAGTCTGCATTTGGCTCCGTGGGGCTGGGCCATGACTTCATAGATGTTGATGTTATCAGTATGCCTGGGACAGATCAGGTCCAGAGGGATGAACTCATGTAAGCTAAATTCACAAGAGACTGACAGACACACCAGATCCTATTAGGTCTGTTTTCTGCAGAGACTTAAAGTTAAGTTCCAGGAGTCAGGAAAGGTGGGTTGGTGAGCAAGCTACTAGAGGAAAAAGAGTGAGTGATATTAATAAGCAATACTATTATGCTATTGTTACCCAATGCAGTGTACTCACTAACATTTACTTAGCGGATTATAATATTTAATGGTAGCTTGTCAGGGTACCCTATTTTTTGTTGTTGCTGGGGATATTCTGGTTTCTTGGTCAATGCTTTTTCTAAACTCTTTCACACCCTATCCCGATATTTAATGGCCTTAGACAGTTCAACAGGGTTGATTAGATTATAGCAATTTCCCATCATTTCATTTTGATTGGGTCTTGCTATAGATACACTTTGGTTTCTTTCTTTCTTTCTTTCTTTCTTTTTTTAATATATAGATTTTATTTTATTTGTCATGGAGAGAGAGAGAGAGTGAGCATGCGCCCAACCAGGGGGAATGACAGGCAGACTGAGAAGCAGGCTCCCTGCTGAGCAAGGAGCCTGATCTGGGACATGATCCCAGGACCCTGGGATCATGACCTGAGCTGAAGGCAGATGTTTGACCAACTGAGCCTCCCAGGCACTCAGCACTTTGGTTTCTTCATGGATTCCTAAGAGACACTCTCAATGCAGTCCACAATCGGTATGCTTTGTCACCTTAAAATATTATTTTAACTCACCCTGCTTCCAGATCTAAGGACCGTCTCAGTTTTTGTTTCCTTGCCTTAAGCTCTAGGCAGACTGTTTGCTTGTTTTTTCCAGGCCTGTTCAGGATTCCTGGGAATGCCCTTGTGACAGCGTCTTGCCTTCCACTCACCTCCTGTGCTTCTGAGTGTAGGTGGAGACTGGTACTTGTGATAACATGGGGTATTGACGGGTGAGGTCCATAGATCTCCAGCTGCATCATCGGTGACCACTGCCACATGCTTCGTCCGCAGCCCCTTGGCCAGAAATCTGAGCAGACCCTTTCTAGGGCCCTTTGAAAGTGCATTGCTTAGAGTGCACTGCGTCTCTCTCACAGACACATCTAGTATCCACACTTAGATGATTCCTCTTCCTAGACCATCAGTCTCTCGCCTGTGCCCTGTCCTGCTCCAACTCAAATGCTGTCATTCTGTGTGATGGTTTCTGAATACGAAGAACTTGTAATATCCCCCCCAGTTGAATCTGCTCCTTCAGCATGGGGGTAGAGACGTTTATTTCCTTTTACTTGTAAACTCACACACACACACACACAAAAGCCTCTAATGGGTGTGATTTTAGGCAAATCACTTCATATCTTCCAGTTTTCTTTTTTGTCAAAACAGGATAATTCTACTTCAGATTTTGTAAAAGCTAGAATAAACGAAGTGCAAAAAAGCTTGGACAAAGCCACACTGTAATTCAAGAGATTTGCATGCAGACTGATATCCCTAGACGCTGGAGATGCTTTTTGGGTAAAGTGTCTCTCTTGCTTCCAGCAGGGAAATCCTGGAGGCAAGACCCTTGAGGAGAGGCGTTCGAGCCTGGATGCCGAGATAGACTCGCTGACTAGCATCTTGGCCGACCTTGAGTGCAGCTCCCCCTACAAGCCTCGGCCCCCACAGGTAAGAGCCTTCTGTAAACAAGCCTGCACTGCAGGCCACCCAGAGTCCACAACGACCTGAGAGAACAGGCTGCGTCTTGTTGTCCTTCCATTCCTGTGTGATCTTCTCAGAATTAGTGTTCTACCTTGTCTTTTTTTTTTTTTTAAAGTATCAATGTATGTTCGTTAACAGAAACTTCTTCAATTGAATTTACAAGTTTTTTTTTTTTAAAGGAACTCAAGAACATTACACAAAAATGTTGTGAAAATTACACCTTCTCTTATTTTGTTGCCCTGTCCTCTTTCTGGCTTTCCCTAGGAGGGGTGTTTTGTTATATGTTGGTATAGTGTTCACAGATACGGTTTAGCATGGCTAGGTTCAAGTTACGGTGAGGGCTCTGTCTTCCGTAAAGAAACCCTTTATGTTGGGTTTTGAGGTGGCTTCTATATTGGGGGGGTTCTTGTAAGTAATGCTCTGAGGGACATGTTCATGTCCATTTTCTCTGGAGTTCTTTCCCTGTCTCAGACTCCTCATGGTGGGATTTCTACATTGAGGAGCATGACCACTTACTTTTCTTTCCAAAGGTTGTGAATGGCTTCTACAGGCATCGACACTTTGGAAATACATATTTCTCCTCCATCTCACCAAAATTAGTCATAGCAATTAGAATCTGTATTTTCAGTGCCAACGGAGCCTTGTCATTAGTTCTTCTGTGCATTTCTTTGCTCCCTTTGGGGCTCGGCTCTTTCTCGGCTCCTCGGTTTACTACCTACATCACAGAAGCTGATCTTCCACCGTTGTGGATCATTGTGTCTCTCTCGGGTCTCGAGACGGCCATGGTAAGATCTCTTCAAGGGCTTCTAAGTCCTCAGAAGACAGCGAGCAGAGTTCTAGGTGCAAACATGAGACTGGCACTGTTGTCACTGTTTACTCGTGTAATGTTTGCTTCGTATGTGACAGTGCGTATGGCACTCTAAAGCCTGCTTGATACGTGACAGTGCGTGTGGCACTCTGAAGCTCGCTCTGGTTCTTGGACAACAGCTCCTGTATTCACAAGGATTCTTTCACGAGCTATAGGCCGATCTGGCCTCTCCTCTGTCAGTCATTTCCACACAGAAGATGGCAGTCCTTTCCTCATTAGACATATTCCCATTACCTTTTCTAGACACATCATGGGGCTGTCCATCCTGTGGGGCACAAGGCAAAACACCGGAGCCTCGTGGTTCCTCAGCTATCTTGGCTCTAGCAGGTCTGTCGGTGGTGGAAGAGCATTTCATTTCTGTTAACATGCCCTGAGCAGCAGATGTGGAGCAGGCACTCTGGTCTTTGGGGGGAGCTGTTGGGAGAAGGAAAGTGAGTCCGCAAAAGGGAGGAAAAAGAACCAAGCTGCAATCTTCCAAGGGCCCATGATTTTAGAAGTCCTCTTCTGGAAGATATGGTAGAAGCTCATGAACGTGGCAGACTCTGAGAAGGTTTATCAGAGAACCTGCATGTTCAGCGTCAGGGTGCCGTGTTGGGGGCCAGAAGGGAGAACAGCTCGAGCTGGAAAGCAGGAAGGTCCAGGTGCCTTCAGGGCACTGCAAGCGACTGGGGGGCTGCAGAGGGCGCCGCTGAAGGGGGGCTCTAGGACCAGAAGTTTCCCTGTTGAGAGCCCGTGGACACGGTTGAAGGCCGGATTAATATCCTGGCCTGTTGCTTCTAAAGATAATGGGGAATATTTGAAGGTTCTCAAACAGGGGGACATTTAAAATTCATTCTAGAAAAAAAAAAAAGCAAAAACATAGAAATGAGACCAACTCTGGAAAGATCCAGGAGGATGAGCCCAAGTCTGAGAATGATTCTTCAACAAGCCTTACTTCCATCGTCGTCCCTGGCCATTGTTTGATGTTAAATGTTTTTCCTATTCCACCCAACACATACCTCAAGTCCAGTTTCTCGGGATAGTGAGACCACGGACTTTACAGCGGGATTCAACTGTCTTGTGCTTAAATACCTCTATTCCCCACCGCACTGACCTACCTTTCTGTAATAGGGCTTTTCTTTTGTCTTTGTTGTTGTTGTTGTTGTGTTTTATCTCCTAAATTCTTATACCCTGATATATACTGGGGATGTTTTGCTTAGAGGTTTTTGTTTAATATAGGTTTCATTCTTTCAGACTGTGTCTATGCATGCCTCCCATAAATCGCTACATTTTAATGGGTTAGTTAGCAGCTACCTTTTTGTTTGAGCCATCCTACTGTGCACGCAAACTCATAATCCCTGATGTTTGGACAGTACTTTACTGTTTGTAGTGCTTTCACATATGTTCTTGCTTGAGTAAGATACAGATGCCTCAACTCTAAGACACAGAGGGTGTGCTTAGTTCGTGGCTGAGGAAACAAAAGATGTGGCAGGTAAGTGACATGTCTCAGGACATATGATGATAGTATGGGCCCAGCGGGACCTTGACTTTAGTGTGTGTTTGGTTATAAGTTCTAGAACAAGATTGAGGATGCCAGGACTTTTTTGTTTTGTTTTGGTTTGGTTTTGTGTTTGATGTTTGTTTCGTTTTGTTGTGTTTTGTTTTAGTCAATGACAAAACTATGAAATTAATCATATGAGTAACGGTATCCCTTAAGAATGGCTTCTCATAAAAAAATAAAACATTTAGAAGGTTAAAGAAGCTAATAATGGTGACCCTTAAATAGAAGAAGTTGAGGATTAGGAGAAAATCTAGTTTCAATATGCCTATTCCATTCAGAATGTAAAGAGTGATCCTTTCTAACTTTTTTTTTTATTATTCAGACTCAGGAAAGTAAGGGTTAATTGGGAGAGACATCTAATTCTTCTGAATTACCTTCACTCTGGTGGAACTGAATTAGATGTGTTTGTATTTATTGGTTAACATAATTATGGGCTGTGAGAACAATAATCACACACTTAAAATATATTAAAAAAATTATGTGTCAAGAGATGATGCTTGCAGGAGATGGTGTTGTGTTGTAATTAAAAGGTACTTGGAAAGTCCTAGAAATGTAGACTGTTAATGCCCAACTTTGATGTTTCCATTTTTGATACAAAGAAAATTACAGAATCTGTTGTGTCATCCGAATACTTAAAGTAGGCTAGTAGGTCCATGGTTTCTCATTATTTAAGCATGTGTTGTATGCTTACCCAAGCCCACCTCTGAATCACCTTTGTTAAGGTGCGTTGACTAATGGATCTAAGGAAAAATGATGATAGATGTGAAGTATTTGCAGACAGAGAGGTCCAAAGGAGCTCTATAACTTTAAAAAATGCCTGGGCCAGGTGGTGGGTACTAGGGAGGGCACGTATTGCATGGAGCACTGGGTGTGGTGCATAAACAATGAATTTGTTATGCTGAAAAGAAATTAAAAAAAAAAAGTCTGAGCTATTAAAAATATATTTTATGGGACATTTTCCTCCTTTTCCCTAGGGACTTCTTCGTGCTCTCGGATTTCCCAACTTTAGTTCTGTGTGTTTATTTATCCATTTTTTAATTTTGGGAAATTTGACTTAATTCTACATATCCGTTCACTCACCTAACATTGATCCCACTGTGGATTAGGCATTGGAAATATAAAGATCATCATCAACATGTCCTTGCTCTAGAGTAATTCCTAGTCTTGCAGAGGAGACAAGCCCATAAACAATTCAAACGTACACCAAAGAAGCATTTCCCTGTGCTACATGAAGTTATCATGTGACTCACCAGATGTTGAAATTGTTGAAAAATCAAAAACAGGAATATCAGCATTATACTTTATACCTTTCTAAGGAAATGTTAGGGCAGACTTTACAGAACATTGCATTTACTTGACTGCATACATCATGGGAAGGATATAGGTTTAAAGATACCAGAAAAATAGGAATGAGGAATTCAAGGAATGTTGAAAGTGAATGCCTTGTTTGAGGAATGACTTAGGTCCTTTGTGACAGATAGGATATGTGGAATTCAAAGGGGAATGGTAGATGAGGAAATCACCCGTACTTAATACCTAGGTTTCCCTCTTCATGCCCAAGGACTCATAGTAAGAGGAGGAATGGACAGTGTGTGGGGTAGGGCAGGGGTTTGGGGGAGATAGCCATAGCAACTTCTGGCTACAGTGGGGTTGGGAGTAATTTTTTAAATCAATTTTATAACATAAAAATATACATTTGTGATACCACACAGAGTTATGCAATGAAACTACCTCAGTGTTTGAAACTAAAATTTCTAATCATTTTATAATGTATGTAATAGGAAATAGTTTTAGAAGAATAGATGTGAGCAGGTCAGAGGTGGTTATGGGGTGAATCACAGACCCAGTATGATCATAGAGCTTAAGTGAGCTCTTGAGGTCATGTAGCCCAACACTTACTTTACAGAAGGAAAGCTTTTCCCTAGAGAGGGAAAGAATATTGTTCAATGAGGCTTGCTTAGAGGCAAGATGAATGATTCTCTTTTTCCTGAACCATGCTATAATGGTTCTCTGTGGATGATAACAACAACCAAGGGACAGTTTGGTTCTATTCAGCATCTCAATTAATTTATTCCACAGTGTTTCTCTTCTGTGGTACTTTCCCTAAAAATATGTCTTGGAAACATAAGAAGGAGGAGATAAAGAACATACCTCAAAGGTAGAGAGAAAATTTATGACCATATAGCGTCTGTGAGTTAGTATGTATCTAGACCTCACCCACTGAGCGTCATTTCTTGGTGGACGTGCAGCTGTGCAATTCTGACAATTCCTTAGAAGACAAGGGATAGATCATGAACTTTTTCCCCCCCTTCTCTGAGCAGAGGCAGAGGTAGAGTGCTGTTCTTCTCATTCCTAGTACAAAGCTGCCTGTTCTTCACACAAGGAGTTGGGTAGTGCTGGAGCTGGTCCCTAGGTGACCTGGAAGAACTTTTAGGTATTTTATGTTAATAGTTCATAGTACCTGGGGATTTAGTAATTTTTCAATTAAGTCGATTTTGAATTGATCAAATGGGATTTCACTCTCCTCATTTTTGTAAGTATGAAAATCTTGGAGAGATT